GATGTTGGCCCCCCAGGCAATGCCCTCCCTTCCTTCCCCGGGTGGGATGGGGGCAGAAATTCTAAGGCAATGTCACCCCCTTCCCAGAACCACCCTTGGGGAGAAACCCCCGGCCTCCCCAAGAAGCCCCTTCTGTTAGACCCCCTTCACTGCCCCTTTTTTTCTCTCCCCCCCCCCAATGCCCTCCCACCATTGAGCAGGGGACAGAGGGCGCAGGGCCCCTGGTGCACAGGGCTGGGGAGCTGGTGACGATGGCGTGCCCCGTCCGGGGCTCCCCGCCCATCCACATGAGCTGGCTCAAGGACGGCCTGCCCCTCCCGCTCTCCCAGCGCACCCACCTCCACGGCTCCGGCCGCATCCTCAGGTGAGGGAGCAGCTCCTGGCCCGCTGGCCAGTGGATCGCAGGCCCGACACCTCCCGGCAGCTGGGCCTTGTTCACCTGCACACGCGCGGCCTTCAGAGTGGGAGGCGGCAGCACTTACCAGTGAGATCGTAGGAATCGCTCTTCAGGACGCACGGATTCAGGCAGGATCCCCGAGAGGGTTCTGTTAGGAGGCAAAGGCGATGGGTATTTCTGAGAAAGGGAAGGGGACGGTCCGCCATGGAGGGAAGGCGTCGCCATGGGCAACAACGTGACACGGGGATGTCAGCGCTAAACTGTTTTCACTTTCCAGCCCAGTCGTCACATAGCTGTTTTCTTGTCTTCGCAAACAGCTCTTCGGGACACAGTGTTGTCCCAGGCCCAGTCCGGAGGTACCTTGCCCTGTTTAACACCCCAAAGATCTGAGACAGAGACACGCAAGGAGCCAGTTTCTCTGGCACAGCCGCTCTGCTCGGCTCTATTTAAAGTGGCTCCTCTTATACTGTTGTTTACAGGCTTTATAGAAATTATATAAACGTACAGTTTCATGAGGGGGAAAGTGAGAGGGCCCCACCCCCACATGAAACTCCAGAGATGAAGGGGCCTCTGCCCGGAGGCTCTCAGAGCCCAACGGGGGAGGCACAGATCCAGGGCGGGACATCTGGTTGTGCCCGACCCAGCCTGGCCTGGGGTGGAGGAAATCAGGGAAGGCTTCCTGGAAGGAGGTGCATGAGCAAAGCCTTCATGCATTCAGCAAGGCTTGCAGATGCTGGCTGTTCCAGGCATAGCTCTGGGCACTGAGATGTAGTGAGCAGGATAAAGCCCCTGCACCTGAGGTGTTGGAGGTGGAGGGAGATGGAAAACAAACAGATATAAAAATGAAATCTCGCAAGGGACATGTGCTCTGAACAATAAGGTAAGGTGAGGGGATGGGAGGCGGCATGGAGGGTGCTGTGTTAGGGGGTCAGTGAAAGGCACTCAGATAGCATGCCACTTGAGCGAGACCAAAGGAAGTGAAAGCAAGGCGAGAGGATTCCGTGGGGGAAGAGCGTCCAGGCTCAGAGGGGAGGGGGTGCGGGGGAGGGAGGTCAGATGACGTAGGATCTGC